ATCAGATTCCATCTTCAGTATCTAAAGCAGAATAAAATGAATTTACTGATGTCCGAAACGTTTATCAATGTCCCCTTTTTGTCAATAAACAATGTTGTTTATCATAAGTGTCGTAATCTTGTTTATAATCAAACTTCGTTTTCCTTCGAACACATCGATTGCTAAAGGTCTAATTAAGTGGTTACTTTTAATGTTTAAATAGAATGTTTACTGATAGTGGAATGAAGATAAACTTTTGAAATCTACATCTAGACTTGAGTTAAAGGAAAACGACTTTTCTGTTAGTGATGAGCTTTAGTGGAATGGTTTATATGATTATATGCGTATTAGCTTTAAAATCGCTCAAACATTTATCAAACTGGTATGAAGATGCATATAAAAAGTTACAACTGGTTTTGTCGATTTTTATTATAACGAGAAAGTAAATGTTTCAGTATATCAAAATACTATACGTCAATGGTCCCACATTATTTTCCATATTAGACCACTCCAGATGATGACCATAAAACAAAGCGTTGGGCCTAAGCTTGTTGGGGAATATATTATTCTTAAAATATAGTTTTGCTTGCTTCTGCGATATATGAGCACAGAGCAGGCCACGAAATAGGCTTTAGAGGGCCTTATGTGGCCCGCGAGTCGCCTACTTGGGACAACTGCTGCACGTTGTACACTTGTCATGTAAAGTTCTTCTAGTGATCACAAAGTCAAAATAATATTTTCCATAAACTTTGTTTGCTTGTCTAAGCACAAAGATGTACAATGGCTATGTGCATTGTACCCACTGGGGGAATCAAAATATGAATTTTATCATAAATTACTAATCTATAATGAAACTAACCTTAGTTATAATTTTCTTATGGTAATTTCAGCCGTGGGGGCGTTATAATGTGACTGTCAATCCCACTATTCGTTGGTAAAAGAGTAGCCCAAGAGTTGGCGGTGGGTGGTGTAGACTAGCTGCCTCTCCCTCTAGTCTCACATTGCTAAATTAGGGACGGCTAGCGCAGATTGCCCTCGTGTAGCTTTGCGTGAAATTCAAAACAAACGAACAAACAAACTTCCGTCATCAAGTGTCATGGCGGCATGACAACTTTCGGTCCTCTGATGCCACTTTGTAGAACTTTGACGTCATCGTCTCTGGTGTGTGGCTCTATGACGTCATCGTCTTGCCCCGCTCTATCGCCCGAGGCAGTCAATCGGCATGCAGTGTGTGTGTGAAATATTGGGATGACTACTGCAAACAAACATATAATTTAAGAACAAAAGGGGTATACGGTGATTACCATAATATGAAGGGATTTGATGGATACTTTATTTTATATTATTGTTAATGGAGGAAACATTATGTCATTGGCCATAAATTGTTACAAGATTATGATCACTGACAGCTTCAATTTTATTTCTTTGTTTCTAGTCATGTTCCTAAAACCTTTGGTTTGTAAGACTTTTCCTCATTTGTTCTACGCAAGAGCTAACAAGAATTACCAGGGACTTATAGCAGACTTTTGCTTTATTCACTAAACACAATGTGAACATCAGTTCAAGAGAAATTCTTGGAGTGATAATGAGAGCAACAGTAGGAAGGATATAACTTTGACTTCCAGGAAGAGATTTACAAGTAACATTTCTTTGATATTGATATCTAACTTTGAAATTAAAATTTTTATATTTGCTTTCAATTAATTGTTATACATATGTAAAATATATATATTTTTTGTTTCCTGTTCATTTTTTTCAGATACTGTTGCTCTGACATCAGTATACTTCAATGGTTCAGCCTCCATTTCAGGACAAGTTTCTTTTAATATGTGATATTGATCTATTTTGATACATCCCCATTATTTCTGTATGTATACCAATCACAGGAACAAGATTATCCTTCCATGATCAATTGTTCTCATCCCTATACATGGCAATAGTACATTAACATGTATAGCCAAATCAGTATCCAGTGGTTAGATTTTACCCACAAATCTCAAGGAATCAATATTCAACATGCTTTACATGACAAATAAAACAAATTCTCAATTACAAACTAAATGGATTATGCAGTGAAATAAACACCATCTACAACTTTTACAGGTGTTACATATCACCAGTATTATCACTCAGATACCAACAAAATGGCTTTAAACTCGCTAATGTGGGCCATAAGAAAATGTACCCAGGAAAGACAGCAACACCTTGAAGTTCTTGTTTACCAAATATTCGTTATCTGGGAACACTTGTTTAAAACAATGTAAAAACTAATGTTGATTTACAGTATTTTCTCGCAGGTCGTGAAGTAGCTCTTCATTTTGATGTCCATAATACTTTCTGTGGCTTTTTATAAATTGTATATACATCAGTTGACTTTTATCTTTAGAAATATCCTAATGGCTCCAAAATGACTATGTATTGTTTGAGAACAGATCTACTGGAGTTAATATAGATCAATAAGCACTGTGAGAACTCTGTTTGGCATCCTGTTATAATTACTAATGATATTTCTGAGTTAACTTCTTATTTTCACATTCAAGATATTATCCACAAGGAAATTCTAATGTTCAGTTCTTTATTTAAGAAGTTATGGAAAATTAACTTTTCCTCTATGTAAAAACCTGTGACGACAAAAGATCACCATAGTTTTCCCCCGAGTCAGAACTCAGATGACGAACAAGAACTTTCTTTTTTTAACCTGGGTGACTGAAGAAGTTTGAAAAGCTCTTGAGTGTGGATACCAGATAATGATTCTGAGGTGTATTATTATCATTGTAAATCTTCTAGAAGATATATAGATAGATACCTTTTTAAAATTTAAATAGAAAATTGTCAGATGTCCTGCACACTACAACACACCAGAATCACAACAAGTCTATGTTCAACTCTATGGTGAACTGACTGTTCACCTGAGTCTTGAACATATCCATATTAACCCTAGAAGATCTGTTCGCAAACAATGCATAGTCATTTTGGAGCGATTAGGATATTTCTCAAGATAAAAGTCAACTGATGTATATATAATCTGTAAAAAGTATTATTGATTATGTGTGATTCACCTAAGATTATTCCAGACAATACCCTTTTCAACAATGAAGTCATTGCTCTCCAATGCAAGCACAAAAACGAGTGTCTTATTCAGCAAGATGAAACAAAGATTTTTTGGACGCCCTCACTACCACTCGTACTCGACTGAAATTGTATAACACCTTTGATAAATTGAGCTATCTGTAATGGTTATGATACAGATATATATCTGGTGGAACTAATGATCCTCCTCTGGGTGATGTTCTCTAATAAATCACTAACGAGCTTGATGGATATCACATCCTGGATCAACTTTTCATAGATGAAGAGTACTTTAATCGAAGCATTTCCGACTAGTGTAACTGTGCTTAAATGACTTCTACATTTCTGCGATGATTCATGATATTACGAATGTATAAAATTTCCTCGAGTATATACAATCTTTATGATATTTATGAAGTCTCGGGTTTGTTTTCTTTTGCATGAAAACAACGCAAGTAGCAGCTGTTGCAGAATGACTTTATATTTGTTACATAATAAGTCTACCCTACTTTGATATCTTTACAGTTATCGATTGACAAAATGTAAAAAACCAAAAACATTACTTGGAATATCAACATCTTTGAAACTTATAAAACATATCCTCATTTCAAAACGTCATTACAAACGTGTTATATTACAGTAACGTATTCAAGTATTGTACGTAGAAATTAGAAAAGCTTAAACTCTGCCTTCTTTTTTTGTGTTATCAGTATAACTTAAAATATATATCGCTCATACATCAGCAATAATGGAAACTAGAGAAATAAGTCGTATGACGATGAAACTGTCTAATCTTATGAGCACATACGAATCTCTAAACTCCAATTCAACAAATGAGGCGTACTTTAGCTTTTAAACAACAATTTAAAATAATATCTGGTACACTGAGCTAACTCCTAGCAAGGTGGTCCGGTGATACAGCGGCAAGTTTACGGAATTACAAAGTTAGAATTCAGGGTTCGATTCTGCATTGTGGACACAGCAGATAGTCCAAATCCCTAGTAAGCCTGTTATTTTATCCGCAAAGTTAGAATTCAGGGTTAGATTCTGCATTGTGGACACAGCAGATAGTCCAAATCCCTAATAAGCCTGGTCTTTTATTCGAGTCCAAATCCCTAGTAAGCCTGGTCTTTTATTTGAGTCCAAATCCCTAGTAAGCCTGGTCATTTATTCGAGTCCAAATCCCTAGTAAGCCTGGTCTTTTATTCGAGTCCAAATCCCTAGTAAGCCTGGTCATTTATTCGAATCCAAATCCCTAGTAAGCCTGGTCTTTTATTCGAGTCCAAATCCCTAGTAAGCCCGGTCTTTTATTCGAGTCCAAATCCCTAGTAAGCCTGGTATTTTATTCGCAAAGTTAGAATTCAGGGTTAGATTCTGCATTGTGGACACAGCAGATAGTCCAAATCCCTAGTAAGCCTGGTCTTTTATTCGATTCCAAATCCCTAGTAAGCCTGGTATTTTATTCGGACTAAGTTTACTCCTATAATTTTTGGCAAGACTATTTCTAACAAATATAGTAATGACATAGGTTATTGTAAAACACATTTTACACTCTTCTGTGTTACCTAATGTGGTAAATTAACTAAACAATAACAAAACTTCAACAAAAGAATAAAAAAACATACAATGTTATCATGCGGGAGAAGAACAAATTAATTCAAACGAATATGCAATTAAATACTAACAGAAAAAAGGTAAAACTATTTTATTCTTTAAACAAAAATCAATAAATATCATTAAACATAAAAATGTGAATATTTATTTAATTCTAAACTGAAACATACCTGTTGCACAAAACATTAGTTTATCCAGATCTTTAACACATTCTGGTTTTCCCAATGCTGCCTGTATGTCAACATCAACCGAACAGGTGTGTCTACACTCTTGACTTACATTCTGTTTTTGACAACAGACTAGAAGTAGAGATAAAACATGACACACAGTCAGTAGTTGAAATATGTATACATTTTTTTCTTACAAAAACGATTAGATATATATATATATATATATCGCACACAAACATTTTATAGTGTCTTTGAGAGTATTCATAACAAGAAAAAAAAGCTTTCGGGAGGAGGGGGATATACGCGCGTGTGTGTGTGAAGAAAACGAAAAAAATATATATATAAGTGAAACAATATATATACTTTAAAAAATAAAAACGCAGCCACAAAACGATTATCCCAAAAATCATAGGGTGGGTCATTATGTAAGGTGCTCTGGTTTTCTGAAGTATTAGCGGAAGTAAGATCCAAATTGCACTGAGTGTACACCGTCTATCCAGTTTAACCTCATTTTCGCCAGCCTCGCATACTTAAAAAAAAAAAGAGAAAAGGAGCAGACATGGGCGCTCAAGCTCACAACGTCCCACATCTTTACCGCCTTTCGCTGTCTGGTAGCTAGAGATGGGAAGATGGTTGCTCACAAAAATAATGATAATAAAAAAAATATAAAATAGCAAGAAAGATAATAATTAGAATATTATAGAGCAATGCGGGAGACAACAAAACTGTCATTCATCTCCCAATATGATGCTTGGATATAAATACCAAGATGTTAAGTACTAATATACTAAGCCCAACCTTTTTGCTATTAGTATAGCTCCCATCTAGATAGTAGCATCTTGATATTTATATCCAAACATCATAATCCATCTTTTACTTATTTACTGACATATACCAGTAATTTCAAATGTCATAAAACTATTATCTATATCAATAAATACTTCCAAGATGTTCCTGCTCTACATTATTAACATAATTCAATAAATATTTATGTTTTTTAGATTACCTGAAGTATTGTAGACAGTAAGTTCTTCTACCTGAACGTGCAAGGTAACACTGGCTACACCATGTATGTTTTCTGCATAGCAAACAAAGTTTCCAGCGTCATCGCTTCTGAAGTTAGTTAATTCGAGACTTGAGATGTATGTGGCTGGAACCTTTAAGAAGGAAAAGAAACCGAAAAATATATTGCAACTTAAATAACAGTTAAATGTGCTTACCTAAATCTTCAATCGCCTATTTAACAGCACCATGTTTTATGACGTCTGTTATTCTTACTCTTGATCTCATTTGTAACAAATGTTTCTTTTAAATTTCTTTTCTGGAAAATTTAATATCTGTATTAATTCCCGAATTTCCAAAACTACTTTGGTAGCAAGTTTTTGTTATAGAATTAGAACCACAGTTTGAATTACTGACATTTCACCTAGTATATGATAATTCGGTGATATCCATCATGCAAATACTGTAGTCTTTCTGATTTTGTTATGTTTATGTATGTCACTCCTGTTACTTTATGACTCATTATGTTGCAATGACAAGCTACCAATTTTATTAGTCAGAGATATATAATAATAATAATATTATTATACACAATTAAAACGTGCACATCATACTTTTTAAGGAGTTATGAGCTTTCGATTATCATTAAAAGGATTGAAATCCTAAACATAATACTACTGAATATCGTGTATAAAGTACTGGTAAAAAACTACCCAAACAAAAGTATGTGTGTTGAAATCACAACCCACATGAATATCGTGTATAAAGTACTGGTAACAAACTACCCAAACAAAAGTATGTGTGTTGAAATCACAACCCACATGAATATCGTGTATAAAGTACTGGTAAAAAACTACCCAAACAAAAGTATGTGTGTTGAAATCACAACCCACATGAATATCGTGTATAAAGTACTGGTAACAAACTACCATAACAAAAGTATGTGTGTTGAAATCACAACCCACATGAATATCGTGTATAAAGTACTGGTAACAAACTACCATAACAAAAGTATGTGTGTTGAAATCACAACCTACATGAATATCGTGTATAAAGTACTGGTAAAAAACTACCCAAACAAAAGTATGTGTGTTGAAATCACAACCTACATGAATATCGTGTATAAAGTACTGGTAAAAAACTACCCAAACAAAAGTATGTGTGTTGAAATCACAACCCACAGTCTCTGACAGAGAATTTGTCTATCCGCTAACAAACAGAAAAAAAAAGAAAGATGGTACCCGCCCCTCTCCTCCATCGCGTTGCAGTTTGAAACGAAACAGATATGAACATGCAGGCTTTTCGTTTAAAGTAAGTAGCTTGCTCTGATGGAAATTTATTATTAACATGTTTGAATTTCGTTTTTCAATTTAGACATCCCAACCTAAGTGATTTCCATATGTTTTACATTTAGTGTATTATTCAAGCTAAAATAGGTAACCGTGAACATAAGCATCTTCAGAATAGTAAAGGTTAAACTGGAAAATAAAGTGACAGTTTTGATGGTTTTATTAAATATATCTAAATGAATCAGTCTCCTTGACTAAATGAACATAACGCATAAATTAGATTCCATCAATTTCGGAAAAACCCACGACGTTATATTAAAACTTATATTTTTATAATTTTTTTTGTTTTTATACAAACTTTTAATGAAAGAAATTTTCACAATTTGTTACTTGTATATGTTAAATTACAGAATTATTGAAAACAGTGGCTCGGCAGTAACTCTGAAGGCTAATAACGCTAAAAAAACCATGGTAAGCACAGCACAGATTGTGTAACTTTATGCTTAACAACAAACAGAAACCATGTTTTCTTAAATCACTGAAATATACTGAAGTTGCTTAATATAAAAATGGTTAATCACCATTTATATAAATAGTGTGCATACGGTAATGCAGTAGAATTGAGCCGTGGCACCTATATATTTATTTGGTCCCGGTGAGTTTCAGGTCATTCAACAATGCTACAACTGATAAATTTGAAAACGACAATGTCATAGCTGTTTCAACGGAAGAGTATTCTTATTGTGAACTGCTACGAACAAATTTGAGGACGACAATGTCGCAGTTGTTTCTGAAGAAGGCTATTAGTTTAATGAAACAGCAAAATCTGAGTCACGCCAATATCAAAGATGGCAAGTATCATCAACAAGAAAAGATCAGCACCATGCAGAACTACAACTACTATTGCCAAAGTTCAAACAGGCTGTCGCTAAGGGACTAATCCTCTATCCAGAAATTATTTCTAACAAACTGTATATAACCCAATCAATTATGTACTTTAGCATAAACTACTAGTGCAGATGGTTCTCCACACATATTGGTGAGAAAGACAAATTTAAGAAAAATTATTTGCATGTATGTATGTTTTCTTATAGCAAAGCCACATCGGGCTATCTGCTGTGTATACCGAGGGGAATCGAACCTCTGACTCTAGCGTTGTAAATCCGAAGACTTGCCGCTGTCCCACCGGGGGGGGGGGGCAATTTCTTGCAAGGACGAGGCCTGGATGCACTTGAACAACCGCAATATTCGTTTGACCATATGCAACTTGATCAGGTTTGATATTTCTTCTGGAACATGGAAAAATAGAATCATCTGAATGTAGCGTTGAACTGTAAGTGAACTCTGACTTTTATCTGTGTAGCACAGTGTAGTCAAACAATTGCTAGTAGGTAATCTTAAAGCGCCATTTTTATGTCAACAACTTTGTAAGCGTGAATGTTCATTATTCAATTTATATGTCGTTAAGGAAACAGCAGTTTCAAGATATTGATTTGAGTATAAAAATATAACAAAGAACTATGATGAATCATACTATTTAGTGATTAGAGCATTATCATCACAGTCATTTGGTTGTTGTTTTTTCCGAGCAAAGCCACATTGGGCTTATCTGCTGTGTCCAACGCAGGGAATCGAACTCCGGATTTTAACATTGTTTACTCTGTAGACTTACGACTGTCCAACCGGGAGACCACAATCATTTGAAAATACACTAATATCTACTTGTATCTAATGGGTGTATACTATACTATACGTTTACTAAAGAGTTCAAGGAATGACCGTTTTGTCAATATAATATCGAAGTTTGTCTATTTTTTCAGTGTACTGAAATACAGACGAATATAACAGATTTTCTGTATATTTATCTGAGTAGTCTATGTATATAACACAAATCTAAATTCCTTTTGTAAGTGCAGAAGACAACAGCATCATATATATATATCCCACTTGTAATGTTCTACGTAATTCATTTTCTCAAGTAGTTATTTAATGTAAAACAGTCTTAATAGGAGCTTAGCCTGTCTTTTTCAAATCTTAAACTTATGATCTCTCGTACGAAAGTCTTCAGGATATAGCACTAAGAAATGTAATTTTTTTGAAATAAAATCCCCTCTTACCCTTCATTTCTTAAAAGCAAATAATTTGAAAAGGATCTTAAACTAGACTCATAAAATTACCCCTCCATCTCAGGAATTATCCTAGTCACCATCCTCCTCTGAAGCCTTTATAAGAAATCAATATCCTGTACAGTATTGCAAGTAAGGCCAAATTAGTGCTTTGTATATCAATAATTTTCACTCTCGACTTAATGATTATATGTCTTTTATTGATGTTGCTACTTGCAACAGATAGCTTGAGTGATCTAACCACCACTGTGCTAAGATTTTATTTCTTTTACACTCTACTGAATGGGTTTCCATCTGTTATATTAATAGTTTGATCCAAATTATGATAATCCATATGCATTACATGGCAATTGAAGTTTCTCCACCTAAATTAATTGGTTCAAGTGGTTCCCTGGTACCAAAACAACTTCAATAAAGCTAGAAATATTCAAGAGGTTAATGCCATCAGTGAACCTTATAATTAACTAAGTATGTTCCTATCAATATCATTAATGTAAATAATAATAAGTAAAGGCCCAAGCACTGACAGCCTGAGGCACTTCAATAGTTACAAAGATCCAGTTTCACTGGATCCATTAATGACAACTTTTTCCTATCTCACATCAAACCATACTGCAATCCAACTTACTAGTCTTTCCCAACCCTACCGATGTGATTTTCTCAGCTAATCTTTGGGTGACACTTTATAAGAACTTTCTTAAAATCTAAGTACACCAAGTCTACACCCTTAACACCATCCAAGTAACACGTAACATTGAAAAAGTTAACAGATTTGTAAAATGATGTTTGCATTCACTGAATACATGTTGCTGTGTGCTATTTTTTAGTAATTTTGAATAGTTTGCTTAAATGTAAAACATCTATTTTCAGTTATTTCAACTATATTCATTTGGTATCGAACCTAAAAACAACTTACTAAATATTAGGTCGTCAAAAAATTAATGTCGCGTTTTGGAACACTTTCATTAACCACCCACCAAAAAACGTACATCACGTATAATAGTTAAATAAACCTCCCAAACGTCA